ACAGAGTCTTCTTGGAGGAAATTCTTGACTTCTTAGGAGCCATTTTTTAGTAGATTTTCTTAGGAATATTGATGCTACGGTCGAATGATTGGGTATATAGTAATTTAATATAATACAACTTTGATATTGTAAATAATGCATAAAGTGTTTTAAAAAGAATTTACAGAGTTCTTCCTTTACCCATATCCTGCAAGCTCGATAGAGGGAAAAGTGCTGCAATTATATTATTCTTGTTTTGAATGAAGACAAGCTTGTATTTAATATAATATAATATTATATTACTATTGTTAATAATGCAAAAATATTTAAAAGACTTTACATTTGTTCCTTTACTCCTCTCTTGCAAGCTCGAATTGTGGATTTACAGTGTATAAAATTTGAAATTTCAAAATTCACCAGCTAATTTTCCGTATTTGTGGCATAAAACTGCTAAAAACCAAAAAAATTAACATTATTAACAACTAACATAAGTGATTATGTTAAGAATATTAATGAACACAAGGGTGAAAATAACAACAAATTTTTCCTTCCAACTTCCGACGAACAACGTCAATACATAAAAGAATTGTAAAATGGGGTGTTGTCTAAAAAGTGGTGGTAATGTAATTTTCCGAAAATGTTAGGGCTGATTTTATAATTAATGGAAAATGGGAAGAAAGAATGGGTGCAGCAAAGCAATATTTTACAAAGTGTCAGGTGTATTATATAATAATAAATAGGGCTTGCAAGGGGTGGAAATGTAATTATCAGAAAATGTCACGGGTGATTTTATAATTAAAGGAAAATGGGATGAAAGAATGGGTGCATCAAGCAATATTTTAAAAATTGACAGGTGTATAATATAATAATAAAAAGGCCTTGAGATGGGTGGAAATGTAATTATCCAAAAATATGAGGGCTGATTTTATAATTACAGGAAAATGGGAGGAAATAATGGGTGGTGCAAGCAGTATTTTAAATATTGTCAGGTGTATAATATAATAATAAAAATGGCTTGCAAGGGGTGGAAATATAATTATCCAAAAATGTTAGGGCTGATTTTGTAATTAAAGAAAAATGGGAGGAAAGAATGGGTGCAACAAGCAATATTTTAAAAATTGACAAGTGTATAACATAATAATAAAAAGAGCTTGGAAAATGTGGAAATGTAATTATCTGAAAATGTTAGAGCTGAGTTTATAATTAAAGGAAAATGGGAGGAAAAGACTGGGTGCAACAAGCAATATTATAAAAAATACTGGGGTAATATAATAATAAAAAGGGCTTGGAAGGTGTGGAAATGTAATTATCCAAAAATGTTAGGGCTGATTTTATAATTAAATGAAAATGGGAGGAAAAGAATGGGTGAAGAAAGCAATATTTTCAAAATTACTCGGGGGTAATACAATAATAAAAAGGGCTTATCATGTGTGGAAATGTAATTACCCGAAAATGTTAGGGCTGATTTTATAATTACAGGAAAATGGGAGGAAATAATGGGTGGAGCAAGCAATAATTTAAAAATTCACAGGTGTATAATATAGCAATAAAATGCCTTGCGAGGGGTGGTAATGTAATTAACCAAATTATCCCACCCAATCCTCCCAACCATTATCGAGTTTGGCTCATTTGGATTCAATCCCATAGATCCGTATCCAACCAACCAAACCCGAGATACCATCCATATTTTTTTACTAATCCATACAATGTAATTTCCCTATGAAGCCCCAATCCCATCCTATCCGAACTCATCCCTCCAACCAAATGGAGCTAACGGGATTGTTGTAATGTTGATATGACATTATTTTTTTATTGTAATATTATTTTGTAAATTATTATATTATAATTTAAATACTAGTAATTTTAGGGTTGGGCATGGGTCGATTTTATCGGCCAATCAATCCACTTTTTTATGTCGATAATTTTTTTGTCGGGAATTTTAACCAATCCTTATATAAATAGGTTGGTCGGTGGTGTTCAGTTTAGTCGGTTGGTCGAGTAATATTGGCCAACTGACTTTTTTAATAACAAAAAATATTATAAATATTTAATTGTAATTCTTATTTTCTTAATGTTAAAAAAAAGATAAAATAATCAAAACTCAAAAAGTGAAAACACAAGTTTATAAACCTCTCTATGTACTATTTTATTTTATAATTCTTATTTTATATTCTTTATTATACGTTTACTTATTTTAGAAGTTTAATAAAAAAATAATTTAAAGTTAATATATTTGCAACATAAAAAGTTTTCGAAAATTTTGAATATCCTCTGAAAAAACACTTAAAAATATCTTATTATTATATAAAAAAAAAAACAATTAATAATAGATGGTCGATAATACCAACCAACCAGCCCATTGTTTACCCGACAAAGTTGGTTGTCAAATGTCAACCATTATCCAACCCATAATAGTCGGGTCGGTAATAGTTTTCAATATTTAGCAAAATCAGTTGATCGGGTCGGATAGGTAATTCGACGCTAATTGCCCAGCCCGACCCATGAGATATTTTTGGAATCAAATTTGTTGTTGTTGAGATATTGCACTGTGACAAGACTACTGATCCAAATGCGGCTGTCGATGCTTAGTTAATTGACGAGCTCTTTCGTCAACCGATTAGTGGTTCGATGGAGACTACATTGGACAAGAGTTTGTAGGCAATAAGCACTTCAAAGGTCGTTTACTCCTTTTTCGAAATGTTGAAGCTCAACAAGTGTATAGACGCAATTGGCAAGCGGAAACTTAGGATCCCGGTTGTAGTATCAGATGCTTTCCATATTTTATTGTTCGATGTCTTTCAAGGAAAATGTATGATTCCCGTCAAAGAGATTAGTACTACCACCGAGGGCAGTGCGGTGGTTCATGATTTCGAAATGCATTGGCTTTGGGGCACTCGACTTGTTATAATTGGGGACCTATGACAAATTTTTCTATATTTAGAGGGTGTTTGGCTAAGCTTATTTTAAACAAATGATAAACTCTTAGATAAGATGTTTTAAGAGCTGATAAGCTATCTACATCTTATTTTAAGTAGTAATTTTTAGAGTGTTTGGATAATAAACTTATTTCACATTTTTACTCATTATAAGATCTTAAATAAAAATGTGGGTTAGAAGTATTTTAAAAAAAAAATTTGCTCTCCAACACCTCATTTTTTTAAAAAATAAGATTTTTTTTTCTAAAAATTTACCAAATACTTTGGAAGAGTTTATAAGCTCTAAAACATCTTATAAGCTTAACCAAACACCCTCTTGGGTGTTTGGCTAAGCTTATTTTAAACAGCTGATAAGCTCTTACGTCTGATAAGATGTTTTAAGAGCTGATAAACTGTTACATCTTATTTTTAGGATTGATTTTTAGAGTGTTTGGATAATGATCTTATTTCTTATTTTACTTATTATAAGATCTTAAATAAAAATGTGGGGTATATGTATTTTTTTAAAAAGATCTTATTTGCTCTCCAACAACTTATTTTTTTAAAATAAGATCTTTATTAAAAAAATTACCTAACACTTTGGAAGAGCTTATAAGCTCTAAAACATCTTATAAGCTCCTTTTAACATCTTATAAGGTTAACCAAAACACCCTCTTATTTGCATTTGAATGCTATTGTTTGTAACATAAACATAAATTATTTCTCTCTTAATTCTCAATAATGATTATTAATTAATTTGATTAATGAGAAAGTACCAGGAATGTGGTTAGAGTCCAAATTGCCAGCTGGTGAGGAAATCTTTTGTACAATTCAAATTATCTTTCCGTAAGCAAAAGTACCATCAACCAATATTTTGACTAGTCATTCAATAAAAGCCTAATATATTAATAAATTAATTTTTTCTTATTGTTTTTTTTTTTGGAGTTCAAATTTCTTTATAGTCAAAGAATAAATAAATTAAATTTCTTTTAACCTAAATTACCTGTCATTTCCAGCCTTGCAAAGCTGGATTCTGCTTATATTAATTCCTACACTTCTGATCATTTAATTAACAAAGGCAAGAAATATAAATAAATAGATCGATCAACTTATATATATTACTTTTCATTTATAATTGGATTTAAATTAATTTTAACATTGCAAAAAAGGGAGAAAGAAAATAAATCCAGATCTAGATTTAATTCAAAAATAAACAAATATACAATTAAAAGAATCATCTTTTGAGTACATCACCAAGTAATGTTTCTATCGAAATTAGTTAACACAAATTTTGCAAAATAACAAATGAATAAATAATTGTAGGATTTTTCTATCACACATTCAAACTTTCTCATCTATCCAACCATATTTTTATGATCTTGATAGATAAATTATTATTTAAAAAAAATAAATAAAGAAAGAAAAAAAAACTCAACTAATGAATGAATTAATGTTGTATGGCCCTTTCTCTCATAGTCTTTGAGTGCATCAATAATCCCTTTCTTGTTTTCGGCAAGAATTTCGACCAAAACCCTCGTTTAATATTCTTCCCGTTTTCGTCGCTTATGAAAGCCATTGATCTACTCTTGTTGAGCACAACATTCTTGAAAACCCTAGTAGATCTTCTGCTTTTCGATGACTCCATTAGTCGTTGGCGCGAATATTCGATCGCCATCGGAGAAGAACACGACGAAGGGTTCGAAGAAGAAGAGAGAGACGAAAGATCGTACGAAGAAGACGAAGAAGAAGGTGGAGGTGATAAGGAGTTGTTGTTATTAGTGATAGGTGTGGATATTAATTGTGAGAGCTTTTCACTTAGGCAAATGGAGCAAACCCCATGGGATTGTATGTGCCTCTTGTGCTTTTTGCAATTGGATCTACTAGTTGTAGATTCCATTTTAATTTGGGTGTCTTTTTTGTGTGTATAACATATGTATGCATGTAATATATATAAATTTTATGGAGAGAGAGAGAGAGAGATGTGGAAGTATATGCATGGGGGAATTTCCATGATGTTTCATAGGGGCTTCATAGGGTGCTTCAAAAAGATGGATTTTTTTGACAAGTCTATTTTTGAGAGTTGGGTGTTGGATGTGTACTAAAGGTGGGCTCTCTCATTATTAATTATATTATATTCTATTATATATATAGTTAAACCTCAATAGATTAATACGAACTAACGACATTCTATTAATTTAGCAGAATATTAAATTATTGAATTAATAATTTAGAAGGTTTTTACTGAGTCGGGACCAGAAGAAACTATTATTTAAGCGAGATTATTAATTTATCGAGTATAAATATATATATATAGAGAGAGACACCTAAATCATAATGTGTAAAGTGGCGTGGAAGTATTGAACAACTTTTTCATCCACAACAATAACTACAAAGACTACCTAATCCACATATAAAAAAATAATCTTAGAAATCAATCATATATAGGATTCTTTATGACGAAGAATTTGAACACTATTTAATTTTCAAAGAAAAATTGGAATATATTGGTAACCGACATTACATTCTTTGGAAAATTGGAAATTAGATACTACACTTGACTTATTTGCATTGACTGAATTTGAATCGTAGATTTATATATAATTACACACAAACACATATTGCACCTATGTGTATGTGTGCTTACTGTATAGTTATTTACTCAAATATACGGTTCAATTCCACTCGATACAAATAACTAGCTAGTGTAGCTAGGGGTGATAAACGAGCTGAGCTGCTCATGTCGATGAGTCGGCTCGAACTCGAACTCGAGTTTTTTGAGCTTGAGCTTTTTGACGAACTCGAACTCGAACTTATGTTAAGTTGTTCGTGAGCTCACGAGCCGGCTCGCGTAGCTTATTTAAATAATGTATAATAATACAAAAAATATTATAAAAATAATATAAAAAGAACATATAAATATTAAAAAATATATATAATTATAGTTTATTGTTTATTTTGACTTTGTTTTATTATAATCTAAACTTTTTCTAATAATAGAATTTAATATTTAAAAAAAATCAAAATGAACTTGGACTCGAGTACAACAAAATGAGCTCGAGCCAAAAAAAAAAAAAAAAAAAAACAACTCGACGAGCTCGACAAAATTAACTCAAGCTCGAGCTTGCTAAAAGAGGTGAGCTTGGCTCGTTCACACCCATAGATGTAGCATCTAACTTCCTAAAAGCCACAAGTTTAGGACACCGTCATTCATTTCTAATTCCTAAACATGACGACTTCGTCATGTTTTCACATTTATTACTTCAAAACAAAAAAAATGAACCAAATAAGAAAAAAACGAGAAAAAAAAAAAGAAAAAAAAAAGAAAAGAAAATGAAAATCCTCATCAAGTCGTAAGTTATTATTTGACAACGATGTATATGTATCCTCTTTGTTAATAGGCTACCAATTTATTTTTATTTTTGATTTTTCATCAACGAATTGATAAATAATTAAATACACATTTTTCAATTTATGAAAATATTAAAACTTTACTATATAGACTACACTACTCCTCGATCGGTTACTACTATTAAGTTCTACTGTCCAATTAGTAGAAGCTAGTAAAATGTTTGATTGATAATATTCGTTTATATTCAAATCCACTACAAAAATTTAACGCCGCTACTACATGCTTAAATTAACAGCACTCCTCTCCTTTACGATTAATTTTATAGATGGTGACTAAAACATAAAAAGACAGTTTTATCCTTAAAATTAATTTTAATTTTATAGGTGGGAGATGATGGAAACTCCCCAAGGGGAGAAATTTAAAAGAGGAATTTCGAAAACATAAAGGAAAAAAAAAACAATAAAACAACGAAACATAAACAATGCTTTCAAAAAAGTCACCGGAAAAATAGAGAAAACAGCCGGAAATAATATATTAAAAATCAGATTCCAGCAAAATGTCACCGAAAACTATTGAACGGTCGACATAAATTTTAAGTAGCCGTCGGAGATGGTGATTCAAAGGAGATAGATTTTTTAAATTCAAAAGTTGAATAATAATAATGATAATGAAGATACCGATTTACGAATTTAGAATTGAAATTACAATTGTGGTTTTGAATTGCTTGCAAATTGAAACCCCCTAACTCATAAGCTCCATATCCAAATAATGTAGGAGTTTATAAAATATTTCAAAATAAATTTAGCCAAACAGGCCCTAATACTTCAGTAAGAACTTCATTGGCAATGGACGAGTTTGATCATTCCACTGCCTTGTATGGCAATAGTTACATTTTAAGTTCAATATCAAATAAATCAACAAGTAATAAAATTACGATTGAATCGATCATTGGAAGAAGAACTAGACACCAAAAATTGTCAAAGCATGTCGATATCTAGTTCGTATTATTACTCATCAACCACTCCAAAATTCATAAAAATCAAGTCTTACAACTGAGTTTGATTACTCTCTTCATGCATAAATTTTTGAAGACATACATAAACAATAAGCAGAAATAAATAAATACGAGCAATATCCACACTAACCAAACCGAGGGGTTGAGGTACAAAACGAACTACCGTCTGAAAGCATAATTCTACTGTCTGAATCAGAATATTTTGTCGAGTAAGCACATTTATTTAGCTGAGTCAGCAACTTGTGGTGCACACTGGGACACGTACGGTTTTAGCTGAAAAACAAGGAGAGGAGCAAACATATAAAACCTGTCACGGGTTAAAGCAATTCACTATGTAACTCCAACATTTCATTTCATACACGTACGATCTCCGTAAAAGAACTTATTCTAGTACGTGTACCGATTTTTGTTATTGCATCAAACATTTAATATTTGGGTAAAAATTACAACCAACCCCTAAGATATGGTCAATTTACGAAAAAACCCCTCTTGTTTGGATAATTACATCTACCCCTCAACTATGATTTTTCTTACATCTCTACCTTTATGGTGTCAAATTCAACATAATCATCTAGATTTTGTGGAATGTGCTCTAGTTTGTACTCGTTTTGTGTAAAAATACAGTTTCTGATGCTGCACCACAATCTGATATATACAAGCCAAAAAACACATTATGATCATCTTGCTTCAGAATGTAGAATTCGAATGGGATAAAACGGGTGCAAAAGTGATATTATTCCATATAATCTCGAAGATTCCACTAAATTTGAAACCGCAAAGGTGGACGCGTAAGAAGATTTATAGTTGAGGGGTGGTTGTAATTTCCCAAATAGGAGGGGGGTTTTTGTAATTTGACCATACCTCAGGGGGTGGTTGTAATTTACCCTTAATATTTCCTATATTTTTCATGCCAAGTGGATAGAACAGCCCCACAAATTTAAAGATGCTCAACTATTGTAACAACAAGAATTGAATGATAACTGGTAAGCGGTACGTACAAAAACCAACATGTGGCTGAAGAGTTGTGACTTTATCAAAGATGGCAAACATTTATCGTATAAGGAACTCGAAAATCAACAGACAGATAGTCGACACATAAATAGAGATACCTGTATTGCCACTATAAGCTCAGGCCTCGTTTGGATGGACACAATGAAAATAGCCAAGATAAGGGCCCTATATAAGGGTTCATTTCTCCCAAAAGATTTCGGGTCGACCCAAAAGTGGACTAACCAAACTCCAGATAAGGCCTAATTATTTAATTAGTCGTAACTTATCTTACTACCATCCAAACAAGGTCTTACTAGTTATTAACTATAAGTAAATAAAATAAGTATGTTTAATATATGTATTCCATTTTTTTTATTCAGACATTAGGTAACTCCAATTCCTTTAAAATTGAACCTGCATACCTTGAATCCCGACAAATCTGGTACCACATAGTTTGGCAACTTTTCGGGCACCACTACGTAACCACCTGCATACAAATGTAACATAATTCTTTTAGAGTTAGTTTAGATTGAAAGATTTGAATATGGGAAGGATTTAAAATAACTCACAATTAGAAAATGTGAAATTCACCACATTTTCTCAATAATAAATAAAAAAAAAAAACTCTAAACACGAGAGCTATAGATTTGAAATTCCTTGTCAAATGACTCAATCCAAACAAAATGAACCGGTTTTTCATTGTGTATTTGTAATCCCTCCCTCGAAACCTCTCATCCAAATGCAACCTTACGGAACTTCATTTGCATAAGCTTACA